TCTCTACGACCATTTCCCTCCAAGTTACAGCTCTTTGAAGATCACCCAAAATTTTGGGATTTTTTAAATATCCCTTAATTTCTGTGCCTAGTGTATTGAACGGAACGGAATTTCGAAAAAAAGTCAATTTTCTGTAATACTAGAGCAGTTGCGCCCCTTAGTGGTGAAGTTACAAACTTGAAATTTTAAATCAATTTCTTTTGGCTGTATTTGTTAGTAGATTTTTTACCCCATAATCGTAGCAATCGCGTCTAGTTGCCTATGTAAAGCCGCTCCGTACCGTTAATGGATCACCCTGTATAATATGAGAGTCTATTACCGTTCTCATTATGCATGAGTTTTTTTTTATATGCAAATATATGGAACTACATTTAGGCTTACCCGATAAATACTGGATCAGCAACTTTTACCAGAATATTATCCACGCTGTGAACATGAACATATTTAACTCCTCTCCTTTCCATGTCTTGCAATATGTTATTTTTCCTCAAAGCAAGGTAAATGCCTCCATTGCCATCAGGTGCCAGGGAGATGGAATCTTTCCTGTCCAAAATGATCCTCCCGTCGTAAGAGAAACTCGGTAACAACCCCTGCTGGAAAAGCACCACATCGTCTTCGTTCAGTCCGAAGTATTTGTGCCCCTCCAGGAACTTCGCCGTTGCATCATGCGTAGCCTGACTGGTCATGATGTACCAACAGACTCTGCCGGTTGAACCTGTTTCTTTCTTCGCTAGTCTTACGACTGACCTAATTCTTTCAGCTTGGATCTGGAACAGTGTTTTTCCAGAGGGCAAACTAATAGGGCACATACCTTTGGGGTAGGGCACTCCAAGTCTTGTACCCTGGCCTCCAGCTAAGAGCAGGACCGCCACACGACTCTTGCTGATTGCTTTCAATCCTTTCTTTCGGTATTCTTCCAGTTTGTCCTCATCAACTCCCTTTTCGTACTCGAACTGGTCTGGAGGAATTGGTTCCATCAATGTGTCCAGTTTCTTTGTTTCTTCCGACAGACTCCCAAGAGCCCTGTTGAAAAGGTTGCTTACATCGTCGAAGTTGATATCGCTCAATTGACTTAAAAAGTTAGTTTGTGCTTCTGGTGCAAGTTCCTCCCAAAATTGTAATACATGAGATTGGTTGTATTTACCCAGTTTTGTTCTAATGTCTTCTAAGGATAGCATGTCTGTGCTAGGTCAAGTTCTATTTACATTAAGCCGGTAGAATCAGCTGATTACTTCACTGGAGATAACGCGGCACACTAACAGCACTGATCCACGTTTAGCTTTAAAAACGTATCTGTTACAGTGGGTATTTATGTTATTTTAAAATTATGTTCACCATAACCTCTTTCTGTAACGATATAAATGACAATAAAGCCTACGAAATTGTCTCTACGTTGATAAATAACTGGTGAGATATTAAATAAGCGACTCGCGCATTTGTCTGTTTACACGTCGACAATCGATATTCGTGTGGGTACAGAAATAGCGCGACCATGAGAATACAGGGCCGGGGTAGGCCGATGGTTCGTTCAGATTTTATACAGTCAAATTTTTAAACTAGAATATCAAATCGTAGTTAAAAAATTTGTTGTAAACATTTTGAAGACTTCGTTGTAATAATTTTTCATTCTTTTACAAAGAGAACAATTTAAATTGATTAAATGATGGTTATTTTCCAAATATCTTTATAACGAGCGTTCAAATAAAAACGTGGTCAAGTTGGTTCTGAAAATTTGGACGTAGGGCATAGCGTATAGCAAATGAACTTAAACGTCATCTGTCAAAGCGCTATATCGCCGCTATCAATTTGAATATTTTCGATTTAAAAAGCGTTTAAAATGGTGTTTTCTCAAGAACAAAAAGTGTTTATCATAGAGTCCTACTTTAGAAATGGACGCAAGATTGATGGAATATGGAAGTATTCTATTGAGGAATGTTTCATAGAATTTCAAAATCAATTTCCCGGCGTTGTTGAGTACAAAATTTTTCAAAGTGCAGTTCAGCGTTGTGTTAATGTTTTTCGTGAAACGGGCAGTGTAACAAGAAAAGAAGGAAGCGGCCGACCTAAAAAGCGGACTGAAGAATTAAAAGAAAATGTCCAACAAATAATGGAAAATGCGCCAAGAACTTCTGTACGTGTTTTATCACAAATGGTGGGAGTATCAGTCGGTACCTGCCACACAGTGTTAAAAAAAGATTTGCGTTTGTTCTCCTATCGTTTAACTTGTCAGCAAGAACTTCATGAAGTTGATTTTCCGCGACGGGCTGTATTTTGTGAATGGTTTTTAAACAACTACGGTGAACTTCATAATATCACCTTTTTTTCTGATGAAGCCTGGTTTCATTTAAGTGGTTACGTAAACTCACAGAATATGAGAATGTGGTCTTCTGAAAAACCAGATAACTTTTTTGTCGAGGGCCCTCTACACGCTCAAAAAATTGGAGTTTGGTGTGCTCTCAATCGAAGGAGGATTTATGGACCTATTTTTTTTAATGGTACTCTTACTGCGCAAAGGTATAGAGAAGAAATTATCGCTCCTTTTGTTAACCAGCTGGAAGAAAACGAAATTACAAACTTTTACTTTCAACAAGATGGCGCAAGGGCACATACGGCAGGCGAGACGATGAATATGTTGAGGGAAGTTTTCCAAAATCGACTAATAAGTCTCAATGCTGAACATGAATTTCCACCGAGGTCATGTGATATTACGCCGTGTGATTTCTTTTTGTGGCCTTACCTTAAAAACACTATTTTTGAACTGCCTATTCCTGATTTAAACCATCTGCAGGCTCGACTTATAGACAAGATTCGTGAAATTAACAATACCCCGAGCATCTTAGAAAATGTCTTTAATTCTTTGAGGAACAGGTGTGAAAAGTGCTTGGAACAAGGAGGGGGACACTTTCAGCAGCTGCTTTAATTTATTGTTATAACAAGGAGGGGGACACTTTCCGCAGCTCCTTTAATTGTTTGTTATTGTTATCACGATTATTCTTTAAAATAAAGTTATATAGTCATTAACGTTATTGAAACTGACAGCTGCTATACAGCTCGTTGAGAAATGAGGTTAAGTTGGTCGCTATAAGCTACTCCCTACGTCCAATGTGTCAGAGCCAACTTCGACCACATTTTTATTTGAACGCTCGTTATTATTGCCATAAATTAAGTTTTTATTCAGTTAAGGTTTTCAAAATTATTAATCTAGTACCTAGCTAAGTAGTAAAGAGAATAAATACCTCTCAAGATTTATTTAGATTATCCTTATCCAAATTCAATAAAATGCAGCCTCAGAGAATTCTGTTTAGGATTATCAGTTTTCAACTTAAATGTCAGACTTATAGTTTATGCCTTTTGGACAGTATTGACAACTAAATACATAATTACAGACGTCAAAATAGTTGAGATGGCAGTAATTCTGAACTGTACAATTTTTGCACGTTACTAGCATTTTGCTACTAGATGAGGAAAATATTGTTCTGCACGAGAGCGGACTGGGAAAATTCGGGAGATGGACGGGAAACTGCAAAAAAACTGTTTCGTGAATAACTTGAAAAATATTGAGAATATCACAAGCATCAAGATCAAAGTTGTAGAGCATAAAATTCTCTATAAAAAAGTGTTCTGTTAATTTTTTCATACAGTGCGTTATTTAGGAGATATTTAGGGATTTACATAAAATGACGATTCTTATGCAGATCAGCCAGAAAAACTTGTATTTCAAAGCGGCGCTGTGCGACTACTCTTTCATTTCTTGGTAAAAATGCATGAAACAAGGTTTGTTCGAAAGAGTGAGCTTCAAATTTTCGTTCTATGTGCTATTTTACAGGAAAACTATGTGGGATCAACGCGAATAGAGCTTAGTTGACAGACTGAACTAAAGCAATATGGGCAAATTTTAATGTTTTTCATGTCATTCATTTAAGTATTGTGTCTCAGTACATAGATAGTACATGAATTTATTCTTTGAAATCCGTTTTTTACGAAAAAAACATTATAACTCTATTTTAATTTAATAATTTCAAAATTTGAGATACACCCGAAAAAAGAAGCAGGAATGAAACGAATGAGAAGAATGCACTTTTATTCACATATATGAACTATCTAAAGTGATACTTTATCCACTAGTGGAATAAAGTAATTTTTTAGTAGTTAAGTAAACCTATAATGAATCAAATTTAATTTATTTACTTAACGTTAACATATACATTTATAATACAATTATTTTTTTTTGTTTTGTGGAGGAGCGTACCTACAGATATATTTGTATCACCCCCTTTATCCACAATCACCTTATAATCGGACTTTTATCCGCACATATGAACCATCTAAAGTGATACTTTATCCACTAGTGAAATAAAGTAACTTTATTTCAGTAGTAGAAAAATGAAAAAATAATAAACCCATAATAAAATCAAATTTAATTTATTTACTTACTAACATTAACATTTACATTTATAGTAATAGACATTTCGTTTTTGTTTTATCACATTTACTTCCTTTCCGTTAATAACAACCCTTGTAGCATTGTTGCCATCATTTTCAGAACGCATAACATCAGTCGAAGTTTGTGAAGAATTTGCATAAGTTACGGATGTCACTTCTTGTAAGGAAAAGCTATATTTTCCTTGAATTTTCCTTGCAATATCAACTTTGTTAAATATAGACTTCTCAAGCTCCTCCATCTACCATGCCGTTTGATGGTTGTAAGATCAGCACCGTTATTGGCCAATACAGTTGTTGAAGTGCGCCTCATACAATGGCCAGTATATGCTTCTGGATATGCGATATTCAGGAATGAAGGTATTATAAGGTTATTGAGGGCACCTTCGCCAATGTGTTGATTCCAACAGGAAGTAATTTTTGATTGATGTATCTTAAAAAGAATATGTCTTGTGTAAGGTGAATAGGGCGCAGAGAAATATATTTTCTGCATATTTCAACTGCATTCACGCAAAATCCTTCTTCTATAATGAATTGTAAATTTTCTTGAAATGCCCGTCTTGGTGTTAGGTATTGAAACAAGTAGGCAACTGCCAACGTCCTGTACGTCACTAATTTTCAAATTTGTCATATCGCAGAAACACATTATTAGTGCAACTTAAAATAATTCAAAGTTCACTATATACCTAACAACATGTAAAAGGTAAAGAGATATTACCTTAATCATTAAACATTCTTTATCGGAAGCCCCAGTAACCAATTCTTCAATATGTGCTATTTCCAATACTGCTGCTTTTTTGCTTTGTATCCTCCCTATTCACTCTTCAAATAAGCAGCAAGCTTGTTATATTTTCCAATAGGTATCTATATTTTTGTAGACCTTCAACATCGAATACTTCGACCACATAGATTAAATTGCATTTTTTTTCAAATTTAAAAAATACGATAGCATGACTTCTTGATTTATTGTCATTACTCCCGTTTTTCCCCTCCATTCGTTAAATTCGGAGAACACTTTTGTTGTAATGTTCCCTGAATTTCGCTGGCAATAAATGGAAAATTGTTTCTTCAAAAACAGCCACAGGAACACAATTACTTTCTTGNCTTCTCAAGCTCCTCCATCTACCATGCCGTTTGATGGTTGTAAGATCAGCACCGTTATTGGCCAATACAGTTGTTGAAGTGCGCCTCATACAATGGCCAGTATATGCTTCTGGATATGCGATATTCAGGAATGAAGGTATTATAAGGTTATTGAGGGTACCTTCGCCAATGTGTCGATTCCAACAGGAAGTAATTTTTGATTGATGTATCTTAAAAAGAATATGTCTTGTGTAAGGTGAATTGGGCGCAGAGAAATATATTTTCTGCATATTTCAACAGCATTCACGCAAAATCCTTCTTCTATAATGAATTGTAAATTTTCTTGAAATGCCCGTCTTGGTGTTAGGTATTGAAACAAGTAGGTAACTGCCAGCGTCCTGTACGTCACTAATTTTCAAATTTGTCAAATCGCGGAAACTCACATTATTAGTGCAACCTAAAATAATTCAAAGTTCACTATATACCTAACATGTAAAAGGTAAAGAGATATTACCTTAATCATTAAACATTCTTTATCGGAAGCCCCAGTAACTAATTCTTCAATATGTGCTCTTTCCAATACTGCTGCTTTTTTGCTTTGTATCCTCTCTATTCACTCTTCAAATAAGCAGCAAGCTTGTTATATTTTCCAATAGGTATCTATATTTTTGTAGACCTTCAACATCGAATACTTTGACCACATAGATGAAATTGCATTTTTTTTTCAAATTTAAAAAATACGATAGCATGACTTCTTGATTTATTATCATTACTCCCGTTTTTCCCCTCCATTCGTTAAATTCGGCGAACACTTTTGTTGTAATGTTCCCTGAATTTCGCTGGCAATAAATGGAAAATTGTTTCTTCAAAAACAGCCACAGGAACACAATTACTTTCTTGCCTTTTTACCAAATTCAGATAAAACTATTTATTAAATAATTGACAATAAACAACTTTATCATAACAATCAGTAGGTATAACAAAACCTACCACATTTCATTGAAGAAATATCAAGTCGAATATGTTTTTATTAAATAATTCTGACTCCACTGTGATGTGATTATGGATAAAACGTTGTATTGCATTCGTGTTTTAATTGCCTTTTTTCCACTTAAGAATATTAACTACGAACTACTTGAACTACGTTCTCGCGTTTAAACATTCTTGCGTGGATAAAATGCTACTTAAAACGCAATAAATAACTATAATTTGTATAGTAAAAAATGTAAAAAAGAACATATATATTTTTTATATTTTAAAATTTGGCCTGCTAACTGACGAAATAAACATTAAATTGTTTTTTGTTTTAAATTATTTCTTTATATTTACTACAAAATTTACTGCAACTACGGAAGATACCAACTACTTATCAGTGTAACAAAATGGTAGAATAAACAATATATAAAGGATATTATCACTTTATTTAACACGGCGGTAATATTTAACAAGTAATTTTGATTTGCTGCGACGCCTTAAAAGTATTAATCCTCCCCTGTCCTTTTATAACTGTTTAATTATTTTTATAGGCAGCACAACGAATAACGGCTTGACCCGCAGTGTTGTTGTTAAATGTAAATTGTTGTATGTAATTGTTCGGGCCAATGTTGTTAAGAAAGATAAATGCCACCGTACTGCTGCTAAAAATATTTTTTATTCAATTTGTTTTAAAGCATCAAATTAAAATTATTTACATTATTTACAAATATGGAGAGTATAAAAAAGAACAAGCGCATTAAATATCAAGGATGTTCAAATTTAAGGACAAACAATGAGATAATTAGCTACGATAAGAGGCATCGTAATAATGATTTTAAAAAGATACGTAACTTTATAATTCCTTAGAACATACAATATGTTTCATTTTGAACAGTACCAGTTTTATATTTTAGAAAGGATTGGTCGAATTTCAATTTTTTTTGCAGAATTGAATAGACGAATGAGATCTACGTCAGCCAACATATATCCAAAAGGCTCTGCCAAAGAACTGGCAAATTATAGCAGATATTGAAAAAAATGATAGCTTCATTGAATTTTAAGAATTCCTATCTCATAAGAGCAAAATTTCATTGATGATTGATATTATACAAGATGGTTACTAGATTATACAGGTTGCTCTAGTAAGCAATTCTATTTATACAGGGTGATTCCCAACTTACCCAAAAAAATTTGGTAATGAATATGTTATAAAAAATATCGTCAATATCGTANTTAATTAATAATAACAATACCGGCAATAGCGGTTGAATTTGCTGATATAAAATAGATGTTATAAAATTTTATTTATTTCTTTCCTTGGGAAAGAAATTCTTTCAATTTTTTTTCCGTTCAAGTTGCATGCTTTGCCTTGCGCAAGGTCAGGTTTTACAGTGGACCAGTTTCCAGTGCAGTGCAGAAGTGTATTTTTAAATCATTGTCAAACTGCCATTTTCGATTTTCTTTTACAAAATTGTAAATATAAAACTGTTATTAAGGCAATTCCTTTTTGGTTTATAAGATTAAATTTGGTTTATAAATACTTTTTAAATCATTAAAACTATTGTTAATTTTTGGAAGGCCCTGTAGCCATGTAGCCCACAAAAACTATGAGAAAAAATGTTGAAAATATGGACATTAAACAAAATATTTCGTTGAAAATCCTGTCATTAATTTTTTATTTCCTGACATAAATCCTGTTTAAAGTTTGTATATCCAATATTTCTTTATTTATTTGTAACTAAATTTATCATTATATGTGCTATTATATGTGCTGTATTTGTCGTTACATTAATAAAATGTTACTGCATTGTATTTAAAACACTGGTTCTTAGTAACCGATCAGATTTTTTATTGTTCTATACAAAAACCGTCTTCTAAAACGTAAATGCATTTAAAAAATTGTAATTATTAAAGTAGGGTGTGGAAATGAAATTTTGATATTTAGCAACAACACAAAAAAGGGACCTGATATGATTTTCCAACTTTTGGCAGAACCTTTTGAGCATATCGGGCCCCGCTTTAGATAGATCTCATCTAGTACTCTATGAAAACAAAAAAGATGAAAATTGATCCGTGTTCTGAAATATATGGAAGGTGTTGCCTAACTAGGTATATTAGATTTTGAAGAAGTACGAAAATGTGTAATGGATATTGTTAATTATCCATACCCCTGAAGCTTTCTTTAGACACTGCCTGTATCAAAAAACCAAAAAACGCTAATATAGATAATATAACATTAGTAAAAAATTTTCAATCCATGTAGATGCATTTTAATTCAGATAGTTATAATTTAAAAACCTGCTTAAAAAATNTGGGTAATACTGGCCTAAATGTGTTTGCATGTCGTCGTCGGTGAACCAAATTTTGAACAGTTGTTGTATAGTCTCTCCGATCTCAATTGAAGACCAAAGAGCTACGCAGCAACTCGGCATTGAAATATTTATTTAGCCATACCCATATACAGGTCTGGTCTAATATAGATAATATAACATTAGTAAAAAATTTTCAATCCATGTAGATGCATTTTAATTCAGATAGTTATAATTTAAAAACCTGCTTAAAAAATCGTGAAAATTTAATCCCACTGCTGATTATTTGGAATTAACCAAATTCGGTAAAAAATAGCTATGCGAAATTAAATTATTTCTTAGCTTTATACCTATGGAAAGTGTATAATTTCGGTATATAAAAACGGTTTTCTGAAAAAATTAAATATATACAATAATACAATTATCTTCTTATAAACATTGTAAAATGTTTCATCTAAAATTTTAATAACATAAAAAAATACCTGTTATTTTGTCATCTATAAATGCTATACCACACTCTTTGGGGAACAATTCTCTACTTCTAACAAGCAAATCGGTAACTGTATCATTCTTCACTCCTTCAGATGGACAACAGTACAAGTTTAGTCCATTATGACAAGGAAATAAGATGCTGTTCAGATACTCTAGCTTGCATTTGTTTAAAGGAATGCATTCGCTTCCTTCTGAACATGTCGAATGCTCGGAAAACACATTTACTGAAACATAACAGCAACACTCTCTTAAATATATTTTTTTATTAGACGAGAATTTGTGGAAAGTTTCATCATTATCAATACACCTAAAAATGTATTTTTTTACAAGAATGGAACAGTACCCAAATATTTATATTCACCTCTAAAGCAGTTGCAACAGTATTTTAAAACTAAAACCAGATACTTTTACTTTCGAAATAATGATTGCCATTGTGGCAATAATAAACATTATAAATAAATGGTATAATAAAATCTCTTAACATTTTGTTTTGTTTTCGATTGGGTTCTAGTAATTTTACCAAAATATTTAAAAATCACTTTTATGTATTACACACATTTGAAGATATTTAGGGTTGCGGTACGATTTTTAGCAAATCATGATCATTATTTCTGTAAACTTGTAAACATAAATAATTTTAAATATATACATATGCTGCAACTTTTCTAATGCATCTACAGTCCTCTTTTTGTTTTTGGACTTCCAGAATAAGAATCTAGGTATATGTTTGATATGTTTACATCCATATAATAATACAGTTACCTAATATTTAAGGTATGTGGAAGTTACATTTGAAACATTTCTCATTTATATTAAACAACTAGTTTAAAATGCTCACCTTTTGCTAGAGTAAACAACATTGCACATATAAATAATGACATCATTTTATAGGTTAACTAAATGAAATAAATACCGAGAATTTGTAGGTATAAACAAGATTCTTTGGTCATACATGAGGCCTTCGTGAGCTGGACATGCGCAAGCTGTAAGTGGATTTAAAATTGTTTACTGGAAAATTGTGAAATGATGTTGAAGAGCGACTATAAGATAACAACAAGAGAAACCTAGAAGCATGTAGGAAATAAGTATAGCTGGACCGGTTCTATATCAAAATAAGAAGCAATAATTATGTTTTTTAACATTTATGCGTTTGTTTATTAAATCCAAAATAACACAAAATAAATCGTTTACACTTTCGTCTTCGAATATTTCATCTAAACTAAATATCCAGAAAATGAGACATATTTTTTCTTTTAAATAGGACAAACAATAAAAAATCTTTATTAGTATAGTCATTGAAGCTGAAAATCAGCTGTAACCTCCGAATTATTTGAAACTGCAAGGATTTGCATGAACATTTAGAATAAGGCTCATTTTATGCTCAAGTTCAAAACTGACATAAGCCCGATTGACGCTTTTTGTTTTTTAGGGGTAAACAGTACCCTTAAGTGAAAAAAAAAATGAAAAAATTAAGTTTTAATCATTTTATTGATAAAAATCTTGTTCAATCACAAAGATTAAATAATGTTCCATGTTCTCGAACATGTTTTATTTATTTTTATTTAATCCTTAAAAATTACCCCTATGCAAAATATAATGATAAAAAAATTACTTTTTAAAGATTTGGAATGATTAAATCGTGCAATTACTTAAAATAAAAGTTACCTTACAGATAATAAAAGAATTTTTCCCATTCAACCCCTAAAAACCACCCCTGTATTGACAAAAATTATAAAAAATTACTTTTTAAAAGCTTGGAAGCTTTAACGGTGCAATTATTTAAAATAAAAATTCCCTCATTGCTTATGAAAGAATTTGTATCTCATAACACTTTTCAACTCTCATAAATAACCCCTGTGCTAAAAAGATGATGAAAAATTACGTTTAAAATCTTGGAATGCTATAATTGTGCAATATACATATGTATGATGTACACAGATAAACATACAATATAAACTTTTATACACTCTGACGCGCACCTGAATCCTAACATTTTGCTCCAAAAATGAGAAAACCTATTTTGCTCAGAAAAAATGTCATTGGTTTTTTACTATAACTCGGTTAATTTTGAAGCTATAGTATCCTACAAAAAAGCATTTTAAAGATAATTTCAAGAGCTGTAAGATCGTTTGCATATAAAGTCCATCGTTTTTTAAAGAGGAAGCATCGAAGGGCTCGAGACAAGTCGTTTTTTCACTAAAATGGATACTTCAAGCGAAGATATCTCCTTTATTTTTTATGCTATAGGAATAAAAAAAGCAAAATAATTATTGAAAAAAGTTACATTTTTGTTGTTTTTCATTTTTTACGTATCTTTCATAGTTTCAGAGTTATTATATAAATAAGGCTATTTTTTTTTAATAATAAAAAATACGTTTTCAACTTTTACCGTAAATTATTCAAAAAATACGCATTCTAAACCGGTCTAACTTGAAAAACACTAAAACACTAAAACAAAACTAATTGTAAAGGGTCGATTAATTTTAATTCTGATGGAAATGGTACAGCGTTTACTGCTCATTTTTCCTTAAAAAATATTAGCAACCCATCTGTTTTCGACGATAACTCCTTCAATTTTGCTCTAATTAACTTTTATTAGTGCTCATTTTGAAAGTCTTTTTGAGTACTACAAAAAACTCCGGGAGCATTATACACGTAAAATTAATCCTTTCTCCGTTATTTGACGTTGAATACATCGATTCGAGTATTCCCCCCAAAACAAGTCCACTTTCACTAACAGTATTTCGCTTTGTATAGGACGTACAACACTTTTTAAAAAACGATTTTCTTTGTTTATTTATAAGCTACATTTTTGTTCATTACACTTTTTTTTTTTAATAAAATGCGTAGTTTTTGAGTTATTCGCGAAAAATGCTTTGAAAAAGTGTTTTATTTCACTCAAAATTCCAAGTTTTCAATCGTGAACAGCTAAAAAACTATTGATTTCTCGGTAACATTCTTTGAGTATTTGTTGCTCAAAATTTGATTCTCTATCGATTTCCAGTGTTATTTTTGAAAAAAAATTCCACCCCCGAGAAGGTGTGACAACCCCCCAACAGGGTGAAAGCGTCAATCGGCGCTATGTCACTAATGTTCATTTTTTTCTCTAACTATCTGCCAACTTTCAAGTCGATCGGTTCAGTTTCAAAGAATTCGTAGGTGAAAAGCTTCAATGACTGTACTATATTAGGCTTTTTGAAAGTCAGAGTCGTATAAATTCTATAGAAAAAAAATGAGTTGTTAAACTACATAATTTAACATATGCAACCATAACACTATGCAAATTTTGTATCCTTTCTAGCATAAACAGTATAAGAAATTGAGAGTATTTTCAAAAAGCACTATTTTTTAGAAAGCAGCACCTTCTATCTCTGCACGAAGTATTTTAGAAAAAACTATATAGTTCCATTAGTTTTTATTGTTGATTGAAGTTGATTTCACATTAAATAGTCTAAAGCTATATGGTAAACTTTTTTCATTTATGCAAATACTATTTGCATGAGGTTCTAAGATTTTAATTAATCAAATAAAGAACTACCTATTTATTATTTAATTCGTTATTTCTACAAGTTTGAAAACTAAAAATATTTTTAAGACGTTCTACAATTTTATCATAAATATTACAGATAATATTTAATTGTACATATTTAGTATATGTACTTGGTATATGTACTATAGCCATGTTTAAAAGGTATTGTGTGGTTTTGAATTATTTTTACACTAATTTAGCACATAATTTGTAATTTTATGAAGATTAAAAAACTCTCATAAATATTATAAGAATAGTTTTCTAACTTATGTCCATTTTAAGAATTATTAACTGTTAAAAAATTAAGAAAGTGTCACATTACGTTTGGAATTACGTTTGATTTAAGTAAAGAACTTCTATGGTCGTTAGGCAACCCACTATACGATCAACTGAAATGTGCCATTGTCCGCTAAATTGCAGCATGCTTTTATTACAAAACCAACGTGATCTGGCTAATTATGCACGTACCAATTGTAGGACTAAGACAGAATAGTAGAAACTACATGAATATTTAATGAATGAAATTTAATTTAATTACATAAAATAAATATGGTAATAAATAATAAAATAAGACAATTCTATAAATACATTATCGGCAGCATTACAAAATTCTAAATATCCTAAATTCAGTACATTTTTGAAGTAACAGTACACTCTCTCTCATTTGAAATATGGATATGCTGGTATTTAAGGCTCAATATTGTCCAATATCCATTTCATGTACGATTCTACCCTCGTGTACAAACCAGGGTGGGTGCCTGCGCCACAAATCGCTCCTCCGAAGGATATAACACCGTATTGGACCATCCTGGATTCGTCGTTGAGAAACTTGGCAGTTTGAAGGGGACCGCCACTATCTCCGTTGCAAGAGTCCTTTTGCTTTCCGTTAGCACAAATTTGTTTTTCACTGACGCGAATGGTTTGGTACGACTTCTGGCATTTTTTTTGAGATATCACAGGAACGATCACTTTCTTGAGGATGGTGCTCTGGGTATTTGGTTCTGTAAATAAAAATACCATGATAATACAGCACTACTATATCAATTACTACTATTACTACTATTACTATTATTACTATTACTATTACTACCAACTTAACTTAAATAAGACCAGATTTTATTCCCAGAGCAAAGAGAGGCAGGAAGGTCATGTATTTGAGGTTGGGGATTGAAATTAGGACATTTTATTGGGTGTACACCTAGATATTGGGACCGAGGGTTATTTATGTTGTGCTACTGCAAGAGATTAACTCAAATTTCGAACTGTCGACTTCGACAGCTGCCTTGGAAATCTTGTTCATACTGTAAAAAGGAAAAAGAACAAACATTTCTAAACATGAAACAAGTAAATATTTCCATACGCTGGAAGAAGGGCCCGCTTTTCATGTTCTGGGTGAATACGAGTTAATATGAGGGTTGTACACCCCTGAGGTTCAGTTTTTTTGGTAAACCTTTCTCAGATACGAAGGAATTAAACGAAAAATCGGTTAGCAGACTTTAGAAATTCACGCGAGTAACAAATTTGCTAAACAAATAAACATACAGTCGGAACGGACTCATAGAGTAATAAAAAATACATATATTTACGTTTTTCTGTGAATCCCCACCCTGTAATGATGACTGAACCAAGCTCGGCGTTACGGGCTACTCCAGTTGGCAGACAAATGGGCTGAACATTATCTAAAATCAAACGAATATTAGTACACTGTTGACTGAATAAACAAAAATGTAATATATACCTGCTAGTTTCATCCCTTTGACTCTTAGAAGCCCAATGTCATTAAATCCATTTTCATTTTCGTATTCCTTGGTGAAATTTGGATGCGGTATGATTTTCTCAATGAACAAATCTTGAACTGGTTCATCAACGCATTTCGTAGTACCATCATCTTGCTTTTCGCAGTCGACCTTAGTTGAAGTGTCGTAGTCGCCAACTCTTACCCCGATTCTATAAGAAAAATATATTTACACAATCAGGATACCAATTCTAAATTAAATCTTTTTTGGTTAAGATTTAAGTTGAATGGTTTGACAGTTTTGTAGGGAAATCCCTTTGGAATAAGGTACTGTTACAGCTAAACAAGAGAAGTATAGGGTTTCTATTTTGGTACTGAACATTTAAAAAGTAGCGCGGAAATAAAAATTGTGAATTTGTCCAAGAAATAGAAAGCTGCTAGACACATAAATATTTAAAATAAATTATTTTTGTAAAATTTCATTATGAACCAAAGATAGGTACATATATGTCATAAAGTGAAGACTCGTTGCTGTTTTATTTAGTTACAGTTTTTAACGATATGTGCATTTTGACTTACATTGGAGTTTGCAACTCTGTTATGCAGTGGGCAGCAGTTAGGATGTATTTATCATTGATGACTGTCCCTCCACATTGGAAACTAGGTCCACTTTCTGCAAAATAATTACAATAAGTTTATTTAATTCACCGTTTGACTTGATTTTCAAGCTTCTTAACATGACTTGAAATGAGATCCATTCAGGAAAAGTGTAGATGTTGAAAAATAAAGTAAAGGTTTTAAATTTTATGTCAGTCAAGACAAGTAGTTAAAAATGACACTAAGTTACTTGGTTTGGTGAATTTCTAATCCGCGTTAAAATAAAGAACTTATACCAAAACTGGTTTCTACTACAGTACAGTTTCAAATATCCTTTCATAGGAATACTTACAATTAGTAAATATATTAATTTACAAAATTAATCTTCATCGCATTAAAATAGTAGTTTCATATTTATATTTTTTAATCAATTAATCATATGGTCTAATCTTTATTATATCAGCAGTCTCTGTAAATAATATCAATCTAAATATGTTAAAGAGAGAGAATTATTTATTTTTGTCTCATTATCAGTCCATTTGAGGGTCGATTTGAGGTATGACATTATGGTTACAGCGGTCTAGAATAATATCTAATGCGTTTTCAGTTAATATTATTTCTGTATACATAATTATATAAAAGTATTTTCCAAAATGGAGGAATCATGTAATATTTTGCAGAATTTCTTATCTTAAAAGGTTAATTATTAAAAAAAAAAATCAGGTTCGATGAAAAATGAATTTAAATTGAAACATTTTGGGAACCGTTTTATCACATGGGCAATAAATTAGTTGATGCTAAAGAAATGGATTTTTAAGTGTTTTAATGTAAATATGTTTTAACTGGCCTTTAATGAAAGACTGATTCACTAGTACTTAAAAGCGCGTTAAAAGGGAGTATTCTATAATCAGTTTTAGAATTCTGAAGAATTTGTTTTTCAAATCGTCTGGACCTTGTTGGCTGCCAGCTTTAATAGTTATTTTTCTATCTAGAACGCGACATGGTACTGTTCAGTTCAAGAATGGAAGTTAAATATCTATTAGAGAACGCAAAAGCATTTCGAGTTTTAGATGTAAACAAAAATTTTTTGAAAACTGCAATAAAATAAGATAATTGTTTTTTGTACAATTTAATTTATATTTGAAATCGTTTGAATCGTATTTGAATCAGGTTTAGGCGCGGTGGACTATCATAACGACAGCAATATTATGAACAAAAACAAGTGTGAAAAAGTCATAGATCTAATATAGTAGGTACTAATTAGATCTATGGAAAAGTAGTATCAGAATTATATATTGCAATCCATATTATAAAGAGTGTTTAATTCAAAATGAGCACTGAAAGTGAAGACGAGCATTTATCGGGAGAAGCGGCACAAAGTGCTGTTTAACAATTCAGAGCCACACAAAAAAAAAAGTTGGGTATACTTTTTATGCGACATATATTTTTCGTAGTAATTTGGCCTCCTGAACACGAATCTGGGGTCAGAATTGGCCCATCACGTCACAATTTTTTCCTAACCTCAAAAAACTTGTGAAAAATAGTGAAAATTGATGAAAATTTACTGGGAAAATTTGGAAAAAAATTTATTTCCACATCAAATAGTACATTTTTATGTAAAAGACTCTGCTGAATTCAAATCCACTGTCAGAATTGAGCTAGAACGTGTGGTTTTTTTTCTAACCTCAAAAAACCGAGCAGGAATCGCTATTTTCAAATTCTGAGCGGATTTTGACCAGATTTTGTATAAAGGGGTTTTTTGGGTCGCTGATTACGAATATGAATTCACATTGTAAAAATTCAAGATGGCTGATCCAATATGGCGGGTGTACTTTTTTGAAATCCACCGATTTCAGTAAAATTTGGCATCATAAGGATTGCTGGTTGATCTCACCTTCATTAATCACACATCTGGAGCCAGATTTTCATAAATCAAGGTAAAATTTGTAGGCAGAGTCATAATTTTAGGCCGAGTAGGCGGCATTTTTTCGGCAAAGTCACATTTTTAGATTGAAGGCATAAGCAGATGCAGTGATGTGCTGTGTGGCAGTAATGTGTCCTTTTCCTTGAACTTTAAAATTATTAAGAAATAAAAGCATCTAAATGCCATAGGAAAACTGCATAGTAGTTAAAAAAATCTGATTGGAAAACCATAAGCCCATGCACGACTAAATAAATGAAAGAATAAAGTAGAAACTTTTTTGTCTTGTCCCATGGAAACAAGCACATCACACTACACATCATTACATGTGTAGAGTCCTTAAGTCATTTTTTTAAGCGAAGTCACATTTTTAGACGGAGTGGAATCTTTTACCTTGATTTATGAAAATCTGGCTCCAGATGTGTGATTAATGAAGGTGAGATCAACCAGCAATCCTTATGATGCCAAATTTTACTGAAATCGGTGGATTTCAAAAAAGTACACCCGCCATATTGGATCAGCCATCTTGAATTTTTACAATGTGAATTCATATTCGTAATCAGCGACCCAAAAAACCCCTTTATACAAAATCTGGTCAAAATCCGCTCAGAATTTGAAAATAGCGATTCCTGCTCGGTTTTTTGAGGTTAGAAAAAAAACCACACGTTCTAGCTCAATTCTGACAGTGGATTTGAATTCAGCAGAGTCTTTTACATAAAAATGTACTATTTGATGTGGAAATAAATTTTTTTCCAAATTTTCCCAGTAAATTTTCATCAATTTTTCACAAGTTTTTTGAGGTTAGGAAAAATTGTGACGTGATGGACCAATTCTGACCCCAGATTCGTGTTCAGGAGGCCAAATTACTACGAAAAATATATGTCGCATAAAAAGTATACCCAACTTTTTTTTTGTGTGGCTGTGATTATTAATCCCAGAAAAATCATCGAGGCAGTACGAGATTACCTACAACAAATTCAAAGGGTGGTGTACTTCAAACAGAATTCAAAATAGAAGATAAGAAGATAGAAGTTCAGAATAGAACAGAATTTCGAATATGAGATATTCCGAAAAACTCCAAAATTCTAACGAAATTGAGAGATTTTTACAAGAAGCACCTGATCATAGATTTCTGCTAGAAAAAGTCATTCAAATTAATATAAATCGTTCGATTTAACTAATTTTGAACAACTTTTCAGGTCATTTTAATAATTGGTCTTTGACAGTCATTAAAGAGAAACTTAAAATAACACTTACCGGTTTTGTACGATAGAAGGGCCATCCAAGGATACTCTCCCAATCCAGCATTCTCTCCGTAACTAATTTTGTCTGGAATACCTATATAACCACATTCCTCAGGCAACAAGCCTATGTTTTTGTGATTTTCAACTGAATCAGCCTTCACTGGTTGATCGGTTACCTTCCTCGAAGACAACATGAGTGATACTGGTTCATCGGAGCAGCATATTTTGACTTTGCGTCCGCTATAGCCGCAAACGTACTCCCTCAGTTTTTCTTTTAGGTGAGACGGTAGAGGTGAAGGTGCCATCTTGAGGAAGCTCACCATGCTCCCGCAGTCTTTCGCTAGAATGCACGTACCGACACCGAGATCTGGCGTCCTGCAACCATCGTCGTCTATTGCCCATCCTTGAGCTGGAAGTATATGTCTATATTTTTTAAAAATTCTTTACATATCACTATGGGGTAGAATCAGAAAGCTTTTCAAAGTGAGTAAACGTCGATAACGCACTGAAATTATTTAATTCTGACAAATTATTTAATTCTGACATGTTTTGTTTCCAACCAAAGACAAGAAAGATATTTTAAAGAGAATAACTAGAACTGTTTTTGAAACAAAAAAAAAATAGGAATTGTATTTGTAGTATCTACTGTATATGCAATGAGGATAAAATGTCAAGTTCTCAAATGTTAGCATTATATAAATAAACCAGAATAAAAAAATTAAAAAGAAATGCGAATGTGTTGGGAGACAATAATAGCAATAAATTGAACTATGTAAAATTTATTTTATGCTTCTTGGATATTTTAACGTAAATAAGTAAATAAAAATAAAACCTATAAAAGCAACAATATGTTTAGAATAAATTATGAATATTCGGTCACATTGAATTTCAAAGTATATTGTTATTCTCCTTTTTTATTGAATTAATTTACTTGTTTACTTAAGTTTTGACTAAATAAAACACGATTTATGAAGAGGTTAAAAATATTTCTATTTTAAAGCTATTCTAACTTGGTCTTTAAAGTAGAAAATATTAATTCTGGCTATTAAATCGCAATAAAAGCGATGAAACGTCGGCAAAGTTTAATGGTAGTTTTTTGTTCTTCATCTTAACCTAATCTAGACCAAAAAAGAAAAATGTAAAATCGTTTTTATTTCATTCTCACTATAGAGGAAATATATACAGGGTGTCCCGTTCGTGTTTCAAAAAAACTTGTGTGCAAGTTTCCCATGAGAAAATAATTAATGTAAAGTTTTTTTCTTAGCCGCCCCGTTTTCGAGGTACAGTGTGTTGAAGTTGTTACTTTCCAAATAGTTTTCCTTAATTATCTTTAAATCGATTAAAGATAAAAATGTTAAAATTTGTACACGAGTAAACATCAACTGTGCGTTAAGAATAATGTGCAAACGGTTTCTTTCTGAAAAGCAGTGTCCCCGATACAGGTAATTGGAGGGGTACAATCGAAAAAAAAAACTGTTAAAAGTCAAAATTTATTACATTTGTAAACGGTTTTGTATACTCTAAAGAAGGGGTCGGCAACTGGCGGACCGCGGTCCAGGTCCGGACCGCTGAAGGTAAAATACTGGACCGCCAAAAATTTTTTGAAGGTATAAATTACTTAAATAAATTATTTAAAAAATCTTTTGTTTTTACGTTTGAGTGCCAACCTTATCATTTTGTGTGAGTGTTTTGAGTTCTTAATGGTTAGTAAGCAGATTAAATTTGAGTCCAAATTAAAATAAAAAATTTGTAAGAAATATGAATATGTTTTTTCTGAACCTCGTTAAAAATTTTCAAACGTATCCGGACCCCATCTAAAATTACTTGCCGACCCTTGCAGTCTAAAGGATACTACAAAAAAAGGTATATTTGTGGAAATTCGGTAGCATGCACCATTTTCGAAAAAAATTAAGTTGCAATTTTTGCTCACATAAAGCGGCACAAGTACCTACATTAACAAAATATTAAATTGAAAGAGGACCTTACCATTGAATGAGCTGAAGATATTTAGGTACCAACAGTATTTGCATTTAAGACTATAATTTTAATTTCTTACGTATCACATGAAACTTTAAATTGTAAAACATTTTATTAACTAAAGAAAAAAAGTTCAGTTTGTTGTAAAATAACATTTAAAAAAGTAAATCAAAATAATCAGATTATGGTAATTAATTATCTATTATATTTTTATTAATACAATTAATCCGAATTGACTGATTCCGTAAACATATACATACTTTTCTTTTCTCTGTATAAATATGTATTTTTTCCTGTTTTGTTTTATTATATACATGTTTGATGTTTTTCTGTGATAGACATTTTGTGATGTATTTTACTTTATGTTCTTGAAACAAGTGTAAACTTATCAAGTATTGTTTATTCGTATAGCTTTTAATATTGATTTACGTTTTATATACTCTGTATTTTCTACGAATAAATTATTATTATTATTATTAACTAATTTTAGATTTTGTAAATTACTACACTACACCATTACTAATTGTAAAATAAAAAGTTGTTAAATGGACTGAATTGTTGATGGACATTAAAAAAAGTGATAAAAACAAAAAATATTAGGAAACAAACTCGGAGACATACAGAACAAAACAGCTGCACAATTAAATAAATGTGCAAATACTACAATAGATACTGAAATTGTCCCCATTTCCTTCTATGCTACTTCATTTTTCTCGAAAATGGTACATGCTACCGAATTTCGACAAGGATACCTCTTTTTTTGCAGTATATATTTTATTCAATTGTACCTCTCCAATTACCTGTATCGGCGCCACTGCTTTTCAGAAAGAAACCATGCACATTATTCTTAACGCATAATTGATGTTTACTCGTGTACAAATTTTGACATTTTTATCTTTAGCCGATTTAAAGATAAAAGGAAAACCATTTGAAAAGTAACAACTTCAACACACTGTATCTCGAAACTTTACATGAACTACCCCTATTATTTTTCCATGAGGAACTTGCACACAAGTTTTTTTGAAACATGAACGGGACACCCTGTATATTTAATGAAATTTTCGACTCGATGAGTTTAAAATAATTCTTGAAATATTATGAAAATTGAATTTAAATTTTAATTTTGATATTGTGTAAACCCGTTTGTAGTTTGTACGAGTATATTTAAAAAATAAGCGAGCAAGGTGGCCATATTCCCGGCCGAGAAATAGTGAAATTTCAGGCGTTTTTAGGTACTGAAATCTTTGAAATTAAAACGTGTAGAACAAAAGTAAGCACAAAAATAAAATCCTTGATGTTTTGTTTATTCATTGTTACCATTTAAATTTACTCAAATAAAATAATAACTAAAAAAAAGCGTTTGTAAAACATGCGTTTGCTGTTATTCTAACCCCACATTTTAAGAATTATTTTCACGTACTTATAAATAAAAGTAAACAATTTTATATGTAGGACTAAGCAAGTAAATGTTATAAGAATATTTACATGTGGAATTATATATAAAAAAGTTAGTATTTTCGTAGATTTCAGTACCTAAAACCTTGATGGTTTGATCGTTTTTTGCACCTGTTTATTCGTTTTACTGCGGCGTCTTTGAAAATACCCAGGTGGCATGACATAACATTCCTATTATTTGATAAGCTTTAGATTTTTTAGTTATTAAATGTTTGAAATTATTTGTCTTTGCGGAAAACACTATTTAAAGAATATGGGGCCCTTAATAATTAATGAGAATATTTTTGAAATATCTAATTGTCACATGTGCATATTAGTACAATTTAATCCTTATAATGATTTAACACCTGATATTTCTATTAAAAAAATAAATTTGTTTGTTTATTTACTTACATGTAGCACCGTTAATAACATAGAATACTATGTGAATTATACCAACAACTTTTAGCAACATTGTGAAATAAAACACTGCTTTAGACAACTTAAAGCTTCAAACGTGAATTCAGTTCTATGCATCAGAAGGAGGAGCTTCTCTTTTTATATCTTTACTCACGGTTCTCACTATAAATGTAATGTGACGTAAAATGGGATAAGTTGATCGTATGAATGGGCTGTCTTTGATAACGGAAAACCAGCCGTTGCACAAATTGTGGTAGTAATCGTGGAATATTTTTTTCTAGCGTTGTACCAGTTTCATTCATAAGTACAATCTTTTGTGGAAGTACTATAATTTCAACGCTATTTGCGGACGATGGTTTTACTTTTTTTTTATTAATACTTATTAAACTAAATGAAATGTGTATAGAAAGACAAGTAAATTAATTTACTTTTTTCATTTTATATCAGTAGAATATACATAAAATATGAAAAGTAGGTAATTAGATTAACAATCTTTAAGAAAGATACCATCAATTTTGTGATATTCATATCACAACAGATGTTATTCTTGCATTAATTTGTTAAAGATAATAAAATTTAAATTTTCTTAAGAAAAATATTAAAGAACGCAAATTTTTTTCTATCGTTTCAATGTTTACGGTTTAGACTTTGTTTGTGACTATGTCATTTAAGACTGGATACTTAAATAACAATTAAAAAGATTCAACAAAAGTAGTAAATTTAAAAAAAATTGACATAATAAATTGATAGTCAATTTTTCCTTATTTTTAATTTTAGAACATGTGGATAAGTATAAATATATACAGGGTGTTAGAAGTTTGACTGCCTTAATTTTAACAGATGACAGAATACATTAAAATAAAACAAAAAAACCTTATATATATATCTATATATATATACATGGTGTAACTTAAAGATTGGGAATAAATTAAAAGGTGGAATTTTTATTTTAAAAAATAAATATTTGTTATATAAAATTATGCTCTATGGGTTTTCTTTTCCAAGCTACAACGCGCTAAAAAATTTCAAATATTATAAAGAATTTAGTTTTTTAGTATCATGCAAAAATCTTTTTTCAGTGCCTATTTGACCATGTTAGGTAGCTGAGTCAAAGCATACTTCATGCATGCACTTCAAAGCAGACTTTTTGTTATTTTTAATTTCCTATGTTAGCAGTGGGAAAAAATGGTATTTACAAAAGTTTTGTTTAGGAAAAATTACAAGAGCTAGAAATAAAACGTAAGAGAGTAATTTTGTTTAAAATACAAAGTGGATCATAAAAAAATAATAAAAAAATGTTTTTACCAGTGGCGTACCACAATTTTCTTCGAATTCGTACGCACGCCACTGAGAATAAAGTCAATTTCTTTCCTGTTACTAGTGGATTATCAAATTAAGCTAAGGCTAAAATTTCATTCCATTATCTTATAATGTTCGAAAGTTATTGGAGAAAAACTAAATTTTTTGAAACTTTTTAGCACCCTGTAACTTGGAAAAGAAAACCCGTAGAGCATAACTTGATATGAGAAAAAAATATTTTTTAAACCAAAAAAATCCAACCTTTAATTTATTCCCAACCTTTACGTTACACCCAGTATATGAGAAAAAAAATTATCAAAATCTCCAACTTGATGTACGAAAGTATGCACGATTGATTATGGAATACTGACATAACTGCGTGCATAGAATACCGCAAAATCCAATGTTTATCACTTTTTTGAACTCCTTTGTAGTTAATTCTAAAAAATAATTAGCGTTGTAATAAATTTAAAATTCGATAAAATTCATATCGAGCAATCTGACAACGGTGCGGTGAATAACATGAGGTACTAAGCTGTCCAGCCAGCAATACGCAATTCAGTTGATATCTGGAATTGGACCGTGTCTGAGTGTCTTTTGCGTACCATTATTTTCTTTTCTTGAGGCGTTTTACAGCGAGTGCGCGAAAATTTGGACGACGTGAGTCTTTAGATACTTTAATTACATATTTTTCAAATTCATAAAAGTTAAGTTCCTGTTTTAAGAGATTCATAATTACTAAAATTCTAGCTACAATTTAAACACAACACTATCTTCGTACTACAAAATCGATACATTTTATTTTATTTATTTAAAAACTGGAAAACCATTGTCTCGAAATTTACTAAATAATAATTGTTTACATTTTTTCCGTAGGACAAGCCTGCCGCGTGCACAAGTGGTATGCATCAGCTGTGTGGCGTTAGGTTAAGCGCCGTTGTCACGTTGTGATGAAACTCCCCAATATTAATACTCGCTGTATTTTGAAAACTATTAGTGTTACGCCCCTGTAATATCCAACTTTTTTGTTCATCTATGATTACTCTATCTCATGCTGAAGTAATGGCAGTCAATCTTCTTACACCCTGTATAAATATATTTTAACTATCTAGATTGAAGTCCCATTTCCGTTAAAAATATAAAAATCTGTGGGAAATTACATTTAAAAATAATTGTGGAATTACAAAGGAAGGTACTGCAAAGGGAAATGTTACATCATGTGACTTTATGTTAAATATTTTGTATTTTACTATTCATTTGTGGCAATTAAGCTTTCTTTGTTTCACAATCTTTGGATAAATAAGTTGAAGCAGAAAAAATAGCATCATACATGATGGCAGATGATTTGTTAAAAATTATTAATTAGAGAAATTTATTAAAACCAACTTTCTTCTTTATTACATGACGAGAGGAAAGTAGAAAAAAAATAATGTTTTTTTAGCTGTTGAAAACTGATATTTTCTTTATGTTTTTTATTTTTCATGCACAGAAAATTAAGGTTTTGTTTCTTTTTGTCGTTATAAGTAAAACTTATAATTTGCTAAATTGTGCTTGAGCACAAAATACCGTAAATCAGCTATATTCGTAAACAGGAATTAAACACCCCCCTCTGTGGATACAGTAGGGTGGAAGAACGTTGGCTTGGGTCAATGTGAGAGATTGACAGCGGTCGGCGATTGACATTCTGCTAAATAATGAGGTTTTCCAGGTTTCCCTCATTCCAACACTGGAAGTCGTTCATTGGCGCATATGCGTCCTACTGAATAATAATATGCCATCCCCCTTTCCATACAAGTCTCGAACTTCTGGGCTAATCCTTGAAGTTAGAATGAGGGGTAGAAATAATATTATTGTTATTATTATTTAAATTTCTTTAATTGTTTTTATTTCGAGTTTTTCAAATGTTTCCAGTTTTCCAGATTTTCCCAATTTTTTGCTTTGGAAAAAATTCTGTTTTTTTCAATTTTCCTCTTTTTCCGTTGTGAAATCTCCAGTCAAAAAAGAAATATGAAAAGTACAATAGATTTTACAAATCTGAATATTTGCACGTTGTTGTTTTGCCAATTTGTTTTTACCTTTTCTCTAAAGAATATGTTACTCTCTTGTCATGCTTGCAGTCTACTCACTTCATGGACATAAAACTATAGTTTTTAATTAATTGCGTACAAATTGTAAATGAGTGGATGAAGCCATTTATATTTAATAGTTAAATCAGGATAGTAAGTAATGTGTATTTAATTTTATTCTTACCTCATGCGTTTACAAGAATAGCATTTTGCTTAAACGAATTACGTCAGAGATTCTTGACGTATCATTGCATAATTTTTGAGAAAATAACTTTGCGATAATGGTTCTGATTTAGTTGATGTTGCTTCTGAAAAGTTCGAGATTACGCGGTTGCCAAAAAATTAATAAAACAAATGCGAATTGTTACGTCAAAATACAGGAAAATTAAATAATTTAACTTTAAAAATTTCCTTATGAATTTCAAGCCGATGTTACGTAAAGCCGCTTAATATTGCAAAGGTTTTTACTCATTTGACGATGCATTCAGAAATACCCACTCAAAGTTGTTATATGAATAAATTTAACAGCTACAAGTACGTTGATCGCACATACCATTACACAAGTACAGGTGGCCAAATGAAAACAAACAGAGCCATTTTCAGGAACGGCGTCAAGATTGCAGAAAAACGCTCAGACCTGTCGATATTAGATCAAAGGGGGACATTCTTTGCTGGTATTTTTGACTCCGCCACTTTCACCAAGCAAGTGAAAGCATCACCCCAAAATATTTAAATGGCATTGGGGGTTGAGTAATATTTCTTTTGAAAGCTCTTACAATTCTCTTTACAACAAACATTAAATTTTATAATTCCGCCCAATACTTTGAAAAAAATTTACATTTTAAAATTTAAATGTTTAGTTGCTTATTTACTACTTAGTTAATTAAACGTTCAAACTGATGACCGCCCGCTTCCATACAAGAATAAACATTTTGTTCGAAACGTTCGCGCACATTCCGAAGCATTTTCGGATTGATTTGACGACATTCATCGACGATTCTTTGACGCAAATCTTCCAGCGACGCTGACTGTGTTTCGAAAGGGCGATAAATCCGGTGATCGTGGAGGCCACTCAATGCTGCCTCTTCTCCCAATCCAATTCCGTAGAAAACGTTGGTCCAAATACTGACGGACAATTAACGCATAATGCGGAGGAGCACCGTCCTGTTGAAAAATCAAATGATCTTCATCATACTCTGGAACATTTTCAATAATATCAGTCAAGGCAGGGTCAATAGCGTCTTCCAGTAATTGCAAATACATTTGGCCAGTCAAATTACCAGGTAGAAAAAAAGGACCCACCAGCCGGTCACCGAAAATTCCAGCCCATACATTTAATTTTTCCGGTTGCTGTGTATGCACCTCGTGAAAAACTCTTGGGTTTGAATCGGACCAATAGCGGCAATTGTGACGATTTACCGTCCCGTTCAAGAAAAAACTGCATTCATCAGAAAAACAGATGTTAAAAAGGAACTGTGGATCGTTCCCTGCTCGCTCACTCATTATTTCGCAAAATTGCAAACGGCGGTCATAATCATCCTCATGAAGTTCCTGGACTAAATGTATTTTGTATGGATGGAATTTATTCTTCTTCAAAATGGTTTGTATGCTAGTTCGATTGATCCCAGACACAGATGCCAGCTACCTCGTACTTAATGTAGGATCAAGATGAACTTGTCTCAAAACTGCTTCTTCATTATCTTCATTAACTATAGGTTTTTCAATTTTT